CTCCAGACTGCTGACATCAGCAACGCTATTGGAAAGCTTCTCCTAATTCGGCAGAAAGGATCGATAAGAGAAGTGAACATCATTGGGAAAAATGTAGTACTAATTTTATTAGGCACTACAAAGTACAAGGACCACGATAAAACTAGAAAAAAAGAATGATAAACTGTAGGAATGGAAATTTTCAGATAATATATTCTTGACACTTCAATTAGAATATTTTGTGAGGGCTAAATATTCAGGAAGAAAAAAAATTCCCCAAATTCGTTTAGCTTATGGTCTTCGCCTAGATAATTTAAGGACCGGAGCAATTGCTAACGATGAAAAAAATCAAAATAATAACAACAGAAAATACTATAAAAACTTCGTTAGTTGTTCGTGCCCAAAATAACGATACTTTAAAAATGGTTCCTTGAAATCATAAAAATAAGTGGCGAAATCGTTTAGCCGCAATCAAAATGGTTAAGTAAAGTTAATGTATTTATTATTAATAAAATAGACTTTAAAGGATAGCAAAAAGTTAGATAAAAATATAAATTTTTATGTACTTAAACATGAAAATGTGTGAAGGAACTAAGGATATAAGAATAAAGAAGAATGGTACAATGCATTTGAGCCCTTAGAGCAAGGATCACAAGTGACCAACCTCAAGATAAGCCATATCGTCGCTGATTTCAGGATCATGAGAGAAATCTTTTTGATTAAGTAGCTTGAGCTGCTTGAGAACTTTGCATTGAACCATAGCTAATGCGCAGTCTCGATAGTAAGGAGGAGGAAGTTTTTCTAGGATAAACTAAAGGTGGATTTACAAAAAATTCAAGAGTATTCATAAATGTAAGCGTCAACATTAAATTCTCACTTTAATATTAATTATTTATAATTAAATTAGTGCTATAAGCCACGTTAACTCACACGGAATAATGCAAGACTGATGCGAATAATTTTTTCACGCTCGGCTTCTCGAAAGATATCGGAGACAATAGGAATAAGTTGTGAATTTTTGGACATTGTCATAACATGCACTGCATCAAAACTAAGGCACCAGAGGCAAAATATAAGCTGGTACTGCAGTTGTTTGCTGATATTCTTGCTGACCAAGACCTCGACTATGCTAATTAATTTTTAAAATTTGCAAGGTGAATTAAAAATATGTTGTTGCAATTATGAAATTGTGAGCCTCTAAAAATATCCTTACGTATTTATTCCGTTTTCCGCAACAAATGTTTGACGGTATTCTCGGACTCTAAGCACCATTTGCAGGTTTCTAGCAGCTGTCTCTAGGAAGTCATTGCGCTGTTAAAAGTTGTAACCATTAGTGAAACCGAAGAATACAATATATTTAAAGTCAAAAACTTATTACTGGCTTTCTTAATTGACCGCATAGCCAGTTTACGTAAAAGGTAAGGTCATCTAGTTCCATTAATCGGGAAGACCAGCATGCAAGTTTAGAAATAATATGAGAGGCCTATTTTTAGCATAGAATGTACTATTACTAGGTATACACATAGTTGGTTGCTAATCTGAAGAAATCCAAAAAAATGAGGCCATATTGGCTCATTCATGTGAATAAAGTACTCCCTGAATATATCGACGCGAGTCTTATCCTCCTAAACAGGATTATTAAGTAATGATCAGACCTGCAAGATGTAATCCAACACCACCAACAAGTATTGAAGTGTTTGCTCCTTTGAAATCTTGTTCAAAA